AAATGGGAAAAGAAAAATGGGCTCAGATATGTTCTAGCCCAATTACACGATATACATGATATACAAATAATATACATTAAATATACAATACAAAATCAATATATGTGTATAGGATTTGAAGCTAGATAATCTTGTAGCTCAACACCCCCCCTCAAGTTAGAGGGGGAGACCACCTTCAACTTGACCAGTAGAGGATGTAGGACAGTCCCAGGTAGAGGCTTGGTGAGGAGGTCAGCTAGCTGTTGAGAGGTAGGGACATGAGAGAGTGTAATGAGCCCACTAGTCAACCTAACAAAGTGACAATCCACCTCAATATGTTTGGTTCGCTCATGAAAAACAGGATTCTTGGCAATATGAATAGCAGCCTGGTTGTCACAAAAAACAGAGAAGGGAAGAGTAACAGAAACCCCAATATCAGTAAGTAAACGAGAAAGCCAAGATAATTCAGCTACCACTTTACTGAGTGCCCTATATTCTGCTTCAGCAGAAGATAAGGAAACTACAGGTTTTTTTTTGGACTTCCAACTAATCAAACAGCCACCCAAAATAACACAAAAACCAGTAACAGATCTGCGAGTATCAGGGCAGGCAGCCCAATCACTGTCAGAATAAGCAGTAATAGAGAAATCAGAACTGTCAGAATAGAAGAGACCCAAAGATAAAGTTCCCTTAAGATATCTGAGGACATGTAGGGCAACAGTCATATGAGGGACGCTGGGACATTTCAAAAATTGACTCAGATGCTGAACAACAAAACAGATGTCAGGCTTAGTGTGAGTAAAAAATAAGAGCTTACCAACAAGGCTCCTATATTGATCAGGGGAGGATAAAAGATCACCAGAATCAGCATGGAGTTTGACATTAATATCCAAAGGACAAACAACAGGAGAAACATCTATACAGTCAAACTGATGCAGCAGGTCAGAAACATATTTATGCTGATTAAGGATCATCCCACCAGGAACAACTGACATCTCTATGCCCAAAAAATAATGCAAAGACCCCAGGTCTTTAATCCTGAACTGATCATCCAGAAACAGTTTCAGGGCAGAAATCTCATCATTGTCATCCCCAGTAATAATAATGTCATCCACATAGACTGCTACAATCACAAGAGATCCAGGTTTACCTTTGATGAATAGAGAATAATCATTCAAAGAATGTGTATAGCCTCTGGAATAGAGAGCAGAAGACAATTTAGCATACCATTGTCTGGATGTCTGTCTCAGCCCATAGAGAGACTTTTTCAACTTACAAACAAGAGGAGTAGAGGCAGAGGAAACAGAATCAGAAGAAGGAGCAGAAACTGTCAAACCTGGAGAGAGCTTCATATATACCTCCTCATCCAAATCACCATGCAAGAAAGCATTGTTAACATCAAGTTGGAAAAGTTTCCAATGGTTCTTAATAGCCACTGCAATAAGACACTTCACAGTGGACATTTTAACCACAGGAGAAAAAGTGTCAGTGAAATCAACCCATTCAATTTGAGTATCCCCTCTAATAACAAGTCTAGCTTTGTATCTTTCAACACTACCATCAGCCTTATATTTGATCTTATAAACCCATTTGCAGCCTATGGGTTTCTTACCAGAAGGAAGGGGAACAACATCCCAGGTACAGTTGGCATCCAAAGCATCAAACTCCTTTCTCATGGCATCCTGCCATACTGGAACTGATGCAGCTTGAGAGTAATAAAGAGGTTCAGTCTCCAGAGGAGAAGAAGAAGACCCAGAGAAAGCAGAAAGATGACAGACATAATCCTTAAGATAAGAAGGAGGATTGTGCTGTATTCCAGATTTCCTGGGAACAATAGGTGATGTGGAAGAAGGCAAAGCAGGAGATGAAATGTCTGGGTTGAAAGGAGGACTGGAAACTGGATAGGAAGAAGGAGAATCTGAAACAGAAGGTGAAGGTGGAGAGGAACAGATGGGAATAGAGAAATCTGGCTCAGAAAGGGAATGTTCAAAAGGAGGAACAAAATGAAAAGAAGAGGGAGAAGCAGAAGGAGTAGAGTTAACAGAAGAAACAGATTTAAAAGGAAAAGAAGTTTCATGAAAGATAACATCCCTGGACACAAATCACTTTTTGGAACTGAGATCATACAGTCTATAACCCTTTTTAGCAAAAGGATACCCCAGGAAGACACATGAAATGGCCCTAGGTTTCAACTTGTCCCTTTGAGGAATTGGGACAGCAGCATAGGCAAGGCAGCCAAAAGCCCTTAAATGGGAGTAAGTAGGTGCCTTTCCATGCAAAATTTCATAAGGGGATTTGCCATGAAGGAGCCTGGAGGGTATTCTGTTAATAAGGTATGTAGCAGTCAATAGGCAATCTCCCCAGAAAGAGATGGGTAAACCAGATTGGAAGAGCAAAGCTCTACAAGTTTCAAGAAGAGTCATATGTTTCCTTTCAACAACACCATTCCATTGAGGAGTATGTGGGCAAGTGGTTTGGTGAATAATGCCATGTTGACTAAAAAAGGATGCACCAGCAATACTAGACCCCAATTCCAAAGCATTGTCACTCCTAATAGTTTGAACAACAACATTAAACTGGGTTTTAACCATACACAGAAAAGACTTAAGCATACAGAAAGCATTGCTTTTAGACCCCAATAAATGTGTCCAGGTTGCTCTAGAGAAGTCATCAACTATTGTTAGAAAATATCTAGAGCCAGAAGAGGTGGGAGTGTGATAAGGGCCCCAAGTATCTACATGAATCAATTGGAAAGGTTTAGATGTACTGGTTGTGCTTTCAGGAAAGGGAAGTCTAGTTTGCCTAGCCATATGACAAATAGAACAATGGAAAGGCTGTTTAGAAGCAAATGGAAAAGATAAGGCAGAAATGTGTTTCATGTTTGCAAATGGAATATGAGCCAATCTTAAATGCCAAATGTAATTCATGTCAGTGTCAACAGCATTATTACCGATGGAACTGTTTACATTTGAAGGTAAAATAACAGCTTCATGACTAGAACAGTCAGGTTTACAAGAATTAGAAGAAGAAGAACATACAGAAACAGAAGAACAACAATTAGAAGAAGAGGAAGGTGGCACCCAAGCAAGCTTGTAAAGACCAGCCTCCTCTTTACCAAGATCCAGAGGCATCCTCAGAGAAGGGGCCTGTAACATATGGAGGAAACGGGAGGTTGCAGTGAACAAGACTACGCAATGCAACTGTTTTACTAACTTGTGGACAGAAATCAAGTTGTGTTTGAAAGAAGGAACAAGTAAGACATCATGAAGAGTGATGAATGGATTTAATGCAAAAGATCATGTGCATGTCACTTTCACTTTATATTCATTAGGAAGAGTTACAAGATAGGGTACAATTAAAGGTGTGAGATTGAAGAGTAAATCTTTATTAAAGGTCATATGGTTAGATGCCCCTGAGTCTATTATCCAGGTGGCAGAATTAATGTGAGTAAGCATGCAAAATTTGGAATTAGAAACAGGGCTCTCAGTTAGCATAGTACCAGCAAAATTGGCAGCATACATGGGAGGAGGAGACTGGGCAGTGGAGTCCCCTAACTGAGTTTGTTGCAGCAGGGTCATCAATTGTTCATAATGTTGTCTGGTCAACCCAGGTATCACAGAACTCTGACCATCCATGTTTGGAACAGGTTGATGACTTTCAGGAGGATTTCAATGAGGAACAGACATATTTCTTTCAGAAGAAAGGAAATCCACACCAGCAGTTAGATGAGCAGCAACAGGTCTCCTCCCCTTGTTAAATGTTGTACTTTGTGGATACCCATGAATCTTGTAACACTTGTCAATTAAGTGCCCAGATTTCTTACAGTATCTACAGAATAAAGAGTCTCTAGCTTGGTCAAAATTAACTCTTTGTCTGAAATGAGAAGAATTAGGCACTGTGACCTTATTGAATCCGGATGAATGTTTGTTTGTGTGGACATTGAAAGACATAGAGTCTGGATTAAACTGAGAAAGGGACTGGACTTATCTCTGTTTCTCATCATTGAGGACCATATTGTAGACACTGTCAAGGGTAGGAGGAGGCTGCATCATCAGTAGGTTACTCCTTACCCCCATGTATGCTTCATTAAGGCCCATATGGAACTGAAACACCTTATTCTCATCATCTTCCTGTATGATGCTATTTCTGGCAGGACAAATGCATCTTTGTCCATGATTTGTACACATTGTTCCTAATTCATCCCACAGTCCTTTAAGTTTGTTAAAATATGAGGCTACATCTAGAGATCCTTGAGAAGTATGAGAGAGTTCTCTTTTTAGTTCAAAAATTTTGGTTCTGTTAGCAGTACCATATCTAGCTGCGAGCTGTGCCCATATGCTCTGTGCAGTATCAGAATACTGCACACTCTCAGCTATATGAGGGGATAAGGAAGCAGTCAACCAGGATATTACCATATTATTACATCTGTCCCATAACTTTTGTTCAACCACATTAGTGTCTGGTCTAGGACATGTACCATCAACAAAGCCAATTTTATTTTTAGCAGACAACCTACAATCATTTTCCTTCTCCAACCCCCATAACCACTACCCGAGAAGGGAGTGGACACAAGAGAAACACCAGGAACATCAGAGGAGTAAACAAATAGGGGACTGGTAGGATCAACAGGAGTTGTATTAGCACTCATGTTAGCAACCATGAAGAACAATGAGTTTAAAGTCAAAAGATAATCTCTGTAAGTAGTTTGAAAAACTAAAGTTGTATCAAAACTTCATGCAAATCATATAGCACCTAAAATAGGAACAGATTTACCCTTCTTCTTCGCGACCAGAGAAGATCGGCCTTCGATTAACAGAAAAATGCCAATTCCGAGCAGCAAAAACCCTAAAATCTGAATTCTCGCCGGAATCGAGTCGAGGACGTCGGAAAACCAACCCAAAATGTCCGAGTAGTGAAGATTCAACCAATTATCGGTGATAAAGGTCTCAGATCAACACCCGATTTTGATCGAAATCATCACTGACCAAATATCTCAGAAATACCCGAAAATTTTCCAACGCGATTTCGACTGGGATAACAAAATACAGCAGAGTATCATCGGATCATCGTCCTGCTCTGATACCATGAAAACATTGAGAAATCGAGATGAAGATTGAAGAAGAAGAAGAAGATGAGTCGGTTTGAGAGAAGCTTCAGGAGAGAGCTTCAGAGAGAGAAAAACTCTTCAATTAACAAAATATCCGACTGACCCTAATACA